TTGTGTGTGTGTGTTGGGGGGGGGGGACGGCACGCGCGCGCGTGTCTCAGAAACATAATAGCACCAAATATGTTATACGAAATAATTATGAAATACAAAAAATATAGGAAAATTGTAAGAAGTTAAATGTTCAATAAAATATAGCAAAGGTTTTATATGTAATACAGTAATATTGAGAAAGTATTTAATATAAATTGCAACACAGGGCTTAGCAAATCTAGGAAACACTTGCTTCTTCAATGCTGTACTTCAGTGTTTGGCACAAACGCCTTATTTGGTGAAAGTGTTGGACGACCTCCGTCTACCCGGACATAAATTTGTTTTACCAGGTGGAAAACACAAACCCGTCGATACTGAGGAAGAGGTGGAACTGGTATGTTTGATTTTTACTAAAGTTTTTTTTATTATTATTATTATTGTTATTATTATTTTATTATCTTAAATCTTTGCGTAGTGTTGGCTTTGTACTAAACTGTTTGTCTAAACGAGAGTAAGGATTTAATTTTGGATTTGTCATTTCATATATAGGGTATCCTACAACTCGCGACTGAAATTTTTATGACATATGACATATTCTTGACTTATAAGTTTTGACAATTTGTTATACGAGTGTGGTTAAGTATTTTTTATGTTTAAATATGATATAATTAATGAAACATTTTAATATTTTAATATTAGTATTTCAATATTATTTAGATTGACATCCAACACATGTCGTAATATTTCATTGTGAAATTGGATATTGATATTTTGTGACATATTTTAATAAATTTATTTATTATATTTTAATTAATTATGCATATGTAATGTACAAATAGATATTTCTTATAGAAGCAAAAATAAAATAAAAATATAATTGCACATTATATCAACATATTTATAAGATAATCTCGATTGTCATTGTTGAGAAGTAACACTTTTACCACCTGTTATATTATTATGTCTGAGCGTGAAATATCAACTCTATAATTAATCAACGTTAATTGCTAATAATTTAATAACTCTATTATAGCCTCAACATTTTTCATATTAGAATTTTTGTCTTATTTTTAAGTCATAAAGGAATATCATAAAAACTTTGATTGCAAGTTGTGAAATACTCTATGATATAGATATAGAAATTCTTTGAATGGAAAGATAATTTTAAAGAAAGCAAAATTGAGATAGCATTTTACATTTTACTTTTTATTTTTTACTTTTTACTTTTTAGCATAATGTCTAATCGTTAATATCAAACTCTAAAAATAATAACTCTAATATAATCACTCTAAAATAATAACTCTAAAATAATTGTTTAAAGAAGAATTATATACATACAGAATTATATACAATTATAGACAATATTATCGAAGATTTGTATGAAGAAATTAAGTTAATAAATTTTTACAATTGTCTTATTATGAAGAAAATCATTATTTCTTTTCTTTGCCTCACAGCCACCGATTGAAGGAACCTTAGAGCGATGGGGCAGTTTCACATCGATCCTCTGCGAAACCCTATCGAAAATGCAGAATACCAATGGTCATCAAACTTATACGCCCTTGAATCTTCTCTATAAACTCAGAAAAAAAACTACTCAATGCGTAGATGGAGGACAGCACGACTCACATGAGTTTCTCCGACATTTATTAGAAATAGTTCGAAATGAAGATCTACGAGTAAGTTGAAAGAGATCTTTTAAAAGAATAATAAAAATAGAATTTGTAAAGAAAAAAGAAAGAACAGAATTGAAGTAAGTAATAATTGATAGTAAGTAATTGGTAGTTTATTAATAATAATAATTTTTAAAACTTGTAAAATCATTAATATCATTTATTCATAATAAATGTATAATGATTAGCTCATAATAAATGTAATATGATATATATATATATATATAATGATCTTACAAATTAAAATTTTATTGTTTTACAGAGATATCAGAGTATAATTCTGAAGGAAGTCGGCCTGAGCGAGAAAACTAAACCAGATTGTGTGGAGAAGGGTTTGAAGTCTCGCGTGAAATTCTATGGTAATCAGGCAAGCACACGGTTACTGGGACCAGAAGCAGTGTTTCGTGGTGTATTGGTATCTACCCTCGAGTGCCTAGACTGTCATCACTCCTCGCGACGCACCGAACCATTCCTAGATTTGAGCTTGCCTGTCACGGCAGACAAGCCGCAGCCACCACTCTTGAAGTAAAGAAAAAGCTCTTTATATCTTTGAGCTTACAATAGTTAATTGTTACTATACAACGCTAATTTTTAACACTTAATTTTTTATAATTATACTTGTTATACTTATAACTATATATACTTATAACTTTATAACTTTCTAAAATATTATACTTTTGAAATTTTCACGGGTATTTCTTTTAAAATTGTATAGTGACTTGCAGATTATTATTTTGTTATTAACTATTATTAATGACAATCTTAATGTTAATCTTAATTCCATTAACAATGGTTTATGATGCAGTGATAACTTGCAAACTGTTATACAATTTTTAAAATATTGATTATTATAATATACAGAAGGAAAAATAGCGAATTTGAAGATGTCTTTGATATGATGAACATTCAACAACGTGATTATCAAACATCCGACATGTCCTGGAAACAATTAAAGAAAGAAAAGAAAGCTGCTAGAAAGAATCGAAAGAATAAAAGACATGAGAATCATAACAATTCTAACGTGTTAATGGATCCGAATAATCCCGCGGAAGAGAACAATGATATTATTCTGAAATCAGGTATAGCTCTTTTTTTTTTTCTCTTGTTATAAATAGAAGCTATAAGAATTTGGATTTTTCTCTTTACGATTGTGTTGAGGACGCGCGCACGTATATGTGTAATATACACACTTTTTTAAGTATATATATATATATATATATATATATATATATATTAATTTTTTTTTTTTGTAGAAAGAAATACCTGGTCTAAAACAATGCTATTGGGTATTCTTTTTGCAGTTTTTGTGCGACGCTGATATGTGCCTCCGGACTGTACCAGGCAGCTTCGGTCGGCGTTCTGACTATTTCTGCACCAAGAGCGCGAAGCACATAAACTTTCTCATTAGACATTTTCTCCGGCATCACAATAATGCATCTATAGCCCTTGACTGCTGCAGTCATTGCTAGACCAATGCCAGTATTGCCACTGGTTGGCTCAATAATTGTATAACCTGGTTTTATAAGGCCTTTTTTTTCTGCATCTTCAATCATCCTATGCGCTATCCTATCCTTGACAGATCCTCCAGGATTAAAGAACTCACATTTTACATCTATAATAGAATATAAAAATTTTCTTTTATTTATAAAAGAAGATAGAATTTTCTATTGTTTTCTAAGATATGATACTAAAAACTACTTTTTTACTAACATATTTCACACTTGATTTCATAAGATTTAGGAATATTATTCAATCGAACAAGAGGCGTCTGACCAATTGCACTTAAAATGTTTGGTAATATTTTTTTACGGTTTGGTACTCTGAAAAAATAAAAATAAATAAATAACACATTTGCCTGTAGAAAAACAAATAAATGATATCTCGAGTTAAATATGAACATTAAAATATTACAATAATATAGAGATCTAATGAAATCATTCTTATGCAAATACACTATCAATACCATAGTAATTTTCTGTTATTAGAAATATGCTTATTTAATGTAATTACTTATGACAATATATTTGCAATATATGTTGCATCACAAATTTTGCAACATTCTCTTATGTATTTCTCTTCTGACTTTTTATAATACTGTGATTATGACGATACATATTTATGTAGTCTACTGATAAACTTTGATATCTCAGAGCATATGGTGAAATCTCATTTGTTAAAATTAGTACAAGGCTGTAACAGTGTTACATGATGTGTAATAACGAAATGATTAAGGTATACGCATGGGAAAAAAATAAAAAGACTCTTCACATTAAAGAAATAAAGTTTCCAATTTATGACAGACTTACTCTGTTTGTTTCGTATGCGGCGAATTTTCACCGTTTACTGTCCAAGTACATTTTGCTTCTCGATCCGGCCGTATCAGTTCCATTGCAATATATTCTTCTTGTTAATTAAATTAAAATCGGAATGTCTTGTTGGAAAACACGAGATTTATCACAGAATGTCAGAAAGCACGACAAAGTGTGCTTCTTCTTTTACTTGGAATCTAAAAAAATGGAAAACAAATTAATATAAGACTCCAGTTTGCTCTGAGCAGTGTCACAGCGTGTACTGAAAAATCGACTCATACTTCGCACGTACTTCTTATATACACTTTACGTATCTTTCAACCTTGGATGTGATATTGTTTGCCGATTCGAATCTTCAAAGCTTCGTCATCGACGATCGGTTATGTTCGGTTACTGATCATCATTATCGCTCATGCAGAATGAGATGTTTACCTACAGTCGTCACGTATCATCTTGAAGCACACGCTGTTCCTGTGAACGGAGCTCGACTCGCGAATTCTGAAATTACGTCAACCACGCGGTCATGCCGCCGAAGAAGAGCGGCGGTGCCGCGAAAACTAAGGGTAAATCCTCGGAGGAGAGCGGCACCGGAAAGACGGAGAAGAAAGGAGGGAATGCTGTGAAGGTGCGAATGCACATTTCGAACCTACTCAGCATGACTCGCGAGATATATAATGAGTCTTATTCCTGATGATTTCTTGCTGATTACATTGTACATAGAATGACTTTCACGATCCTTGATAGGATCGATAGGATTTCCACGACTCATTGTTTACATTACGATTTTTTTTCCTTGGACGCAGGTTAGGCATATCTTGTGCGAGAAGCAATCAAAGATACTGGAAGCATTGGAGAAGCTGAAGGCTGGTCAGAAATTCAATGAAGTCGCGGCAACGTACAGTGAGGACAAAGCCAGATCTGGGGTAACACAAATATATTTATCTGTCTCTTAATATATAATAAAGAGAACAAATTACCCATACTACAGAAAGACAAATATGTTCTGATGTACACGAAGAGATCTCAGTATGTTTAGAATAAATAAATATAACTTAAATTCAGTTTCAGCATTTTATTAATTAATAAGATTTGATGCAATTATTTTCATGTTGTTAGTTTCATACAATTATTATTTGTCATTTCTTTCCGCTTCTATCATTAGTTTGAATCAAATGCATTTGATAATGCATTTTGTTTGTTGTCTGAAGGGAGACCTTGGTTGGATGACGCGAGGTTCCATGGTAGGACCCTTTCAAGATGCAGCCTTTGCATTACCAGTTTCCACCTTAGCATCTCCCGTCTACACGAATCCACCGGTGAAAACAAAATTTGGGTATCACATCATAATGGTGGAAGGTAAAAAATAATTGAAAGTTGCATAATCTTTTTTAAATATCTTTGTAAAACTTGTTACATTGATTTACTGATCCAGTAAATATATATGATATTATTTAGATACTAATTTGATTAATTATTGTGATATTTATTTTATTATAAAAATATGTATTTCTATTTCTTACATTTTTACTTGAAGAAAATCAAGTAAAAATTTGTATAGGTAATTTAACTTGACTTTGTCGTGAATCAATGCATAATGAGTAAAATGTTTTTCAATAAATAAATGCATCGTCGTTCATTATTCATAAATTTATTGATATCTGAATATACAATCAATATAGATATTATTTTAATAAAATTTTAAGAAAATATATTTTATATATAATTTTTCCTTAACTAAAGTAATCTACAAATCCTAAATTGCAGTCTGTACCTATTAAATATAACTCTCTATATGTATCTATGATTATATTTAAGGGTATAAATAGTGATATTTATCTGGAGACAAGAAATGCATATAATTCCAATTAAATTATTTATGCTGCTCCGGCGAATGAGAGTATGGAGGTATTAAATATTATAGTAATAAATAAGATAGTTTATGTAGTACTCAGTCGCTTCACTGGCGTGTCGCATAGACGCGCTTTATAACTTTATAGATACCCATTCAAATCAAAGTAAAGCTATTGCTCCTTGAAGTTCTTCCATTATACACGGATATTGGGATTGGTGAAACGAATGTATCTCAGAAGAGATTCATTGTCCTCGCAGACCCACGGTTTCTTGTGATGACATGCCACATCATGCCAATTGACTCCGTCGTTGTAGAATTGATTAAGGATTGCGAGACAATTTTCGGGGGCACCACCTTGAATGGCTTCGCGATTGTCAGGTTGTGGCTTGCCAATGCTAAACAAAACGCATACATTGCCGAAAATATAATAATGATTGCGTTCAGAAAACACAACAGTTGAGTGAGCGCTAATCATTCATGTGTTGTATTCACATGCAAAATTATAGATTGATGTAAGCTGAGTGTGTGTGAATCTATTGTTATTCAATGAATAATAACTCTTACCCGCCGCTCTCAGACCAATCGTTTTGGGTACGTTCGTTAGTCGGCGCGAGTTTCTGCAATTCAGCGGTCCAGAACCAACCGTTGATGTGAAGGGGCTGCAAATCTGGCCGATCGCAGCCTTTGAAATCACAGAGGCGACCGGAAGTCCAGATGTACTTCACTTTGTCTACAAGAGAAGCATTTCGATTCATCATCTTTTATTTCTGCATTCCGTAAATATAAAGTCAATCAAATTTAAGAAATAAATTTGCAGAAATAAATTTGCAGAAATAAATTTGCAGATCTGTACTTTGAACGATACGGCTCTTGATGAACTCATTCTCGGCGGAGGTCTCCAGCGAAACTAGATCCATACAACGTTGTCGACAGAAATTTCTGCCTGACAGCCAGTCCACCTCCTGTCCGGCTGTCCTTGGATCGGCCCATGAGAAGTAATAGCCTTTTCCATTGAATCGTTCATGGATAATTCCTGCGACAAACCGTAATTAGAAGATGGAGCGTATTAGATAGGCAATCATACAATGGACCACAATCTTTATGAATATCTTTGAATGCGAGTATGCGAGAGGTATGTTTACTGAGAAGAGCCGGAGGTCTCTCATTCCCGGAGTGAAAGTTGCGAAATTAGTGTCAGTCGTGACAGCGACCTCGGCGACCACAGTCACGACCTAGACATTGGCACCCGCGCTGTATGCTGATTACATCGCCACTTTCCAAATAAAGAAAAAGAAAGTTTTCTACCGGAGGCGGGTCTTGAAATGCCTGATCGGGCTACGCCCGATGAATGAATAATCAGTAATCATCGGTTCCGTAACATATTTTCCCGCCTTAGCGGTATAAAAATTCGTCAACGATCCAGCTGATCATTTTACGATTTAATCCTTTTACTACTAGATCTCTTCCGTGGAGAAAAGAAAAGTAAAATTCATTTTAAACTTATTTTTAATAGAAATAAAAAAATTTGAGGCAAAGCAGAAAAATATCCTAAACGAGAGCTGAATTCTGACTTTCGATGTGTTCTTGAAAGCGAAAAAATTTGATTGATAAATCTTTTGTCTACAAATTCCCTCGCTCAGTTAACAATACCCAGTTAATAATAGCCCACGGGAATCTGGGAACTGATTCCCGAAGATTTCCCAGGCGACATTCCGGATCAGATAAACGTGAACGGTCTAATGACATGATACATTATCATTGGACCCGGCCGAAAACGATGAACGTGAAAGTGCCCACCGACATTCCGTACTACTTACGACGAGCACGAGGACATTTCCAATTCAAATGCGTTCGAGTTACACCGCCGACGGTGTCATCGTCACACTTTCTATAACGAGCGTGAATGCCGAAGGTGCGCGATAAAGGTGTAAGGCTTGAACGATCACGTATAATTAGCGACATGTCGATGTAAGAGGATGTAAGAGGATATGACGAGAATGGCTGAGGGGGTCGAGAGCGGCGGTAAACAATGACCTCGAAGCGGTCCGAGGTGGAGTAGGAAGTAGGAAAACGGATGGAGGAGGATCCCACGGGGTCACGGCTTCTCTTTGATCACAAATATTGAAAATACTTTCTCTGCTTCGTGGTTCCCTTGAATAAACAACTGAACGGTTCTCGAGAAAAATAGGAAGACTCTCTCTCCGGCGCGGATCTTCAAGTCTTGGGAAAATACCCATATTATCTCAATAGATGATCAGCGAGAAAATTCCAGAAAGTTTTTAGACAATTTTTACAGTCAATTTAATGACATAAGACTATTAATAGTAATAATTTTAAAGGTAATTTTGAAGAAAATAATAACGATACCGAGTTGATAATCTTCATTTTTTGTAATGTTTAAGTTTTTTAAAGAAACATATAATTGGAAATTAATTTTTTTATGACTATAAATTTTCTTCATCTCTCTCTCTCTCTCTCTCTCTCTCTCTCTCTCTCTCTCTCTCTCTCCAAAATGTATAAAGGATATATATATATTTTTGTTTTTAAATTTAGGGGGTTTGTTATTGCTACGATAGATGTTAATAAAAATAATGATACATAAAAATAAAACTTACTTTGCGCGCAAAGTGCTGGGTTTGGCGACTCGAGAATCCGACCGCTGGGTTGTGGTTGAAATTGGGCAGCGGACAGCGTTATCAGAGCAGCGAGAAGCGTGAAAGCTATCATTTTTCCTTCCTCTTACGCTACAATCATTAAAGAAATGCGACATTAGTATTATGCAACCAATTACGATGATGGCGAGATTTGTTTTAATTAGAAAACATTTCGTCTTTTCCTGATCGTGATCGTTAGCGCGTTCTGCGTTATCTCCGGATTTAAATGCCCAAACTTTCTTAAAGAAGCGACTCTCAAATGGAACCGGTTTGAGAGTTCATTTCCGATGTTATACTGGGTGATACCTTATATCCGATTTTGTTTTCATAACATAATTTATTTCAGTGACAATAAATATTATTTTTCTTATTTCGTCAGACGTATTTTGTCACGAACAATATTAAAACATAAAAATCGTACGAGAATCCACATTCCCAAAAATAAATTTATACCAAATATATGAACTATAATAAAATATTGCATCTTTTTGTTTTAATTGTAATTGTCCCAGCTTGTGAGAGATTTCCAGTAATTTTACATTTTACATTTCATACAAATTCTTATTGTAGTTTAACGCTCCTTGTAAATTACACTAGAACTTAATTATCTAAAAAAAAAAAAAAAAATCTTGTGTTAAATTTACCTGATACAATCGGTTGCAATTGAGTTTGTTTTTCTGTCCAATTTTATCTTTTCCTCTCCTAATCACCCGCGAGCTTAGGCAATTTAACGTCCTTAGGAAAGGAATCCCAATAGAACAGGTCAACCACGGTGTTATCTTGCGGACGTTCCACAAAGAACTGCAGTGCCTTCTTGGCATGCACCCCTATATATACACAACGAGGACACAGTCGTGCCAGTACTTTTACCACCCGGCGAACCACGTTTTCGCCCGCCGCGAAGATTTCAACAATTTTGCTACGTGTTGGTCGCTCCCTCCTTCTCCCTTATTCACAAGGAGGGCCATCCTTG